TATTATAGTTGCATGTACACGGATGCATTACATTTATGTAAGAAATAACAAAACGAGCCAGTACAAGATGGGTGTCAATATCGATTACAAAATGCGATCTCATGCGGTATGTACTCTTCAAGCCATATTGAATAATAAATTGTACTTTACCCAACCTTCTAAGGCAATTAAAGTTTGAATAAAAAAAATTGTCATAATATATCGTGTTTTCGTGTCTGTATAAGATTTTTTGTCATTGATAGTATGTGATAGATATTAGAAACGTTATGCTAATCTATAAATTATTAAAACAGAAAAAACATGAATTTGTGAAATTCAAAATAGTTTTCTTTTCTATAAAGAACTGCGAATACAAAATATATTTTGTGATTACAAAATAGCATATGCCATAATGACAATTTTGATTAACGATATTAATATAGATTGTCTTTTAAAATTCGAAAACGGTACTTCCATTTCAGCTACTAAAGTAATTCAAATATTTGGCCAATCGAGGGTAATACACATAGATACTCCTTTTAAAGTTGACAAACTGAGTTTCGTTTTACATGGGAAGCCTTTGAAAATAACAAAATTAGTTCACGATTTGAAATGTATTGTTCACGTTGGTGATTTGCTTGCAGAAAACGTTACACTCGAAAATGCATATTTTAACGTGACAGAGTATAAACCGATTCACATTGCAGACGATGCAAATGGATCGACAGAAGGTGGCTATGTTTACGTTATTGATGGTGACAGTGGGAAATATTTATGTACTTTGGATTATCTGTATTGCATCTGTCATGGTATAGATGTGAATGGCCGAAATCCATTTTCTACGAGTAGTGCTACCGGAACGAGGCCTCTAAGTTACGCAATTTCGAATGGGCTGTATTGGCAGCACATAATTAACAACGGTGTACCTCGAATGCGACAGAATTTATATTATTCTGACGTAGTTGGTAGTGAATATTTTAATAGAAAGAAATCGCTTTATACAAATATGCAATCTTACGTAGATGATTATGAAGCATATATGTTTGGTGTAGCAATGGCGTACGTCGTAGATGAAGCTTGCGATGAAATCGATTCCAAGGGTAGGTGTTTTAAAGAGGTACATTACGCTGAATTGTGGGGTGGGAAAACTTCTTTTAATGCACATTCATTCCTTTGGTCGATTGCTGATAAAAGGCGGCATTGCCAAATGATTCAAACTGCATTGTGTTTGTTATTTACGCCACAAATATATAGTATGACTATGCAAGCAATAGATCACCTTTCATTCCTATTGATCAAAGATTACCCAGACATGTATAATGAAGCGTCAGCGATTGTAAATGGATATAAGTCAAATCGAAATCATTTTAGCAAATCTGTCGTATATAGCCACGTACATCCGTTTTTTACCGAATCCGAGGCTTTAAAGACTGTTCTAAATGTAGACAATCGTTGTGCATTGTTGAAAAGCGTTGAGTCTAAGTTTTTGCAAAGTATTACAGAAAGATTGGATTTGGAAAAAGGATTTAAAGCCTTTTCGGCTGCAACGGATGACTGGCTACACTACTTCTACACACCACACGAAACAATGTTGTTAAAATCTGGTGTATCCAATAAACCGCATGAGAATCATCATGGTTTGGAATTTTTTTCTGAAACACTTGCACCATTTTCTGATAAACCAAATGATGTTTATACAACATACAGTTGTGGTGAGTGGGTAGACAAAGACAAACCGCGTAATGTATCTTTTATGTTATGTACAAAAACAAATAGACACGTTTTAGCTACATATTCGAGTCCCTTAGAAATTTTAAACACATTATTAATTGCCGATTTTAATGATATGCGAATCGACCCATCATGGAATGTAATTTTAATAGCATCATTAAATAAATCTATTGAAGCAAAACAAATGGAACCCACTTTTCAAAACTATAGTTCATTTAGGTCAACGTTACTTCTTATAATTATGACGTGTTTTAGAACGCGCTATGTATACAACCCTAGTAGTGATATAAAACAATACACCAAAGGTACTCACATTAACTTTTCAATGAGATCTAGTTCTATAAAGGTAGTACATGCATGTCTATCTTACGATTGGTTCGATTTCGTTTTGAATGCATATAACAAAGGATATTTAGGTACTCCTAACAAAATTGTAAAAGGTAAAGTCAATTGGTGGAAATTCACGCCTCCCATTAATGTGGCAAATGAATTAGAAGGAGCAGTAGAATCTACGTGGCCATATTACGATCTCGATTTTATTAGAATTTACGATAATTTTATTAGCGATACACTGTGGAGCTATTACGGTAGAAATTTGCATAAACGTATAAGTGATGTCCTAAATACATTACCTGATGTTATGACAAATCATGTTGGTACTTTACAACAATCGCAAGTTATTCCAATGCATATTCAAATGGCAGTTGTTTACATGTACTTTACAGAATACGTAACAAATATTGAGCGAGACGGGGTTTTAAGTAAAATGACAGCTGCAATTCAACCAAATACTTATGCTCCACTTAATATTCGCAAAGGTTATGCGTGTAGTTTTGAAAAGACATCAGAAGTTTTTACGCTTCATTCATTAGATTTAATAGATGAATTTGTCAACGTCAGTTACAAGTTGATTAAAGACAAACCAATTTTGAAATTACCAGATAAGTATTCTTACAGTGTTGAAAATATGCGTCAAAATTTTGAAAAAATGCGTCACATATTACTTAACAAGGAAATTTTAAATTTTAAAGTCGTGAACCCACACATTGTTGATCTCATGCACATAATTCTTTCCATCAAAGAATGTCTAATGTACACGTACAACGGACATCGTGCAAGTACCTTTATATCCAATTTACTAGGATACGAATATAAAGGTAATGCTATCGATATGTCCGAAATATCAGAAGTAGATACATTCAAAAAATTACACCAATATGTAACAAGTATACTCAGAACGAATAATCTTCCTACTATGTCGTTGATTCAAGTTAACAATGTTTATGAATGTTTCGTGAAGAATGTGTCGCATGCCTTATCTGAAAAGAGAACTAGGATACCGGACACGAATAGACGAAAAAGACGACGATATTGCATCCCTTAGATTAAATAAAAATGTTTACCTTAAATATACCACCTGGTAACGTGAGCGTTAATATCACACCTCTGGTTCATTTCGAAAGATGTAAATTGTCGGCGGATAACGCCGCAAGGCAATTTACAGCTCAGACCACAACAGCCCCAATACCCATAAAATATCCGAGTTTTAAAAGTAACGTCTTGGAAAACGTGACCTTTTTTGGTTTCGTTATACGAGAAACGAGATACGATCCAAATAATTGCAACTTAAAACATGAAGTTGACATCGACGGAAATGTCGTCACCGTGTCGGAAAATAATTCTTGGCTTACAAACAACACAGCTGGTGGATATGTGTACGCAATTGATTTGTCGCAAACACAACAACGAGGTAGATATCTTTGTACACTCGATCACATATATCGTTTATTAAGTGGAATGGTAGTTGAAAAGACTGATGCATTTGCGGTCACGAATGCGACTCGCATTATAGATGCAGATGAACGAGAGACGAATAGTCTTTTATGGTATAAAATTTCTTCTCTTAAACACCCATTAATCCACGATATCATAGACACTGCGGAATATATTTGTCATGGCATTAGAAGTCTTTATGACGACACGCCAATGTATACATGCAGACCGGAACACAATTGGGGTGCATGTATTTTAGATTTACTCAGGGCATCAAATTTTAAAACGCTACGAAAAAGTGAATTGAAACTCTGGACTGATATTTTACTAGACGAATGCCCTACCATGATCCACGACGCGGTGTGCATGTTATACGGTCCAATCGCATACTTTAAAATAATGACTCTTTTAAAAATTAAATACTTACCTAAAAATGATCTTGACGTAGATCGTATACCAATACCAGATTACAATTTGTCTTGTATCAACGTGATACAGTACTTGGCCCCTTTAGTTAAGACACCCATATTGACTTACGTCCCCACAATGGTGCAATCTGATTTCGAATGTATAAATGACTATTCTATTGATATCAATCCAATATTATTGGCCTTTAGAAACATAGCAAATGTCTGGCTGACATTTTTATATTCGGATACAAATGCTTTTTTAAGCTTGCAAGGGCAGTTACAAATCAATACAGATTTCAAAATAACATGGGATACTGGTACGAATTCAAGTTTTAAATACGTTTTTGCAAAAAATAATGCTTCTACGATCGAGCTACAACAAGATTTGGGTCCATTAAACGCATTAAATAATTTACTTTTAATAAATCCAAGAGATCTTATAAGTGTAAGCAAGTGTAGAAATGTGGACTGGAACGCAGTTTTTATGCTTGCATTGAATAAGCCTATAGAGCTCACTATCGAAATAATTACAGCATGTCGCATCTTTTATATGTTTAGTACTGTAGATACATTGAGTATTAGGCCACCAGAGCGATGTTTACACATTACACAATGCATGCGTCGCCGATCGCCAAGCATTCTTCGTGCATGCGAGCGTTACGATTGGTTAGATTTCGTCTTGGAGACAATTACGAATAACAACAAAATTTACAGTGCCGATGGTATAGTTAAAGAATTAACGAATCCACCTTCAGCTAGAGACAATACAGTGGGATGGCCTTTATTTGGATGTCGACAATACTCTTCTGATGTCGAAACCAATGTTTGTACTCCTTTAAAAACGCATATGGGTAGTCGCGTAAAAAGGATAGTGACAACAGTCTCCGTATGGAAGAATATCGTGGCTAAATACGGAGGTTATACCTCGATGCCCCCTACGGGAAATATCAAATTCTCTTTAGGTCCTGTGCTATCTATCGTATACGATAAATTTTTAGATTACGATAACGCACCATTTGGTCCGTTATATTTAAAGACGTCTAATAAATTTCGCTACGATGAGCTAATACCGGCAGCGATTGTTTCTGGAAAAATGGAATCGGCAAACGACATATGTGAAAGATTACATTTGGCGGTAATGGAAAATATAAGAATTCGTGGGTGGGGATCGTTTTATACAACATCAACTGCGAATATAATAAATTCTATATTACAAAGAAATAACGATCAACAAACTAATCAAGAAATTTTATTACAGTCGTGGTCACCAGCACCACATGTTTGGATTGTTCTCAAAAACGATAAAGTATATCTTATACGACATAACCATTTTAACGATGTCGTTGCATTAGATAAAGAACTGTATACAAGTATGTTACTTAGGTGGCGACACGAAACTCGTCTTTCTATGTTAAACGTGCAATCGCAACCAGCAAATCAGAATACCATTACGAAAAAAATAGTGGAAATTGGAACATTTACCCCTATTTTGGAAAAACTATACAAATTTTTAATACACGATTGTTGTACGTACCGTTTCTTGTTTATAGAATCATATAAAGCACCAAAATTGCATGTTGACGAAAAAATAGTTTTGTTGTTACACTGTTTGTTATCACACGATTTAGGGTCTTGTATGCCCGTCACAAATGCACACGTAAAAAAATTGGAAGACTCTATTACGATCCAAAGAGAAATTTTACTATCAAATTTATTTGGGACGGACGGAGACAATATTTGGTCTAAAGAAATGAAATCGGCAACAACTGGAAGTAATTTAAATGAAAAATTTCTTATGTGTACGAAGCCATTAAAGTACGTAAACGATGTGTTAAATTCTTATGACAAGAGTGGGTCTGTTACATTTAAAAACACACCATTGTCTCTTATTGAGGTCACGTATTGTATCGACGAATGGTTGTTGAGAATGACGTATAGACCTGTATCGTATATGACATGTTCTCTGAATATTGCGGACGACTTCCATAATTCAGATCATCGTGCGTTGCGTGCAAATGTTGTGCAAACTGTGATTACAAAACTACTACTGCATATAAAAACCGATTCCTATTATTTTCGTACATTACTAGATGTCGGGGTTTTTTTAACTGGAGTTGACCCATACGTCATCACTAAAAACATAAATAATTTATACACTATACCATTAAATAGGCATTACGAACATTTGGATGACGATCATCGTATCAATAATATATTAAAAGAATCTAAAAATTTAGACATTTTAACTATATACACAGCTTTTAAATTAATCGATTCTTTGTCATAATTAATAAAAAGAAATATGAAAATATCTATGTGTTTAAAATTGTATTCGCACAACACTCCAATTTATATAAATGTTACACCGCTTATAGGTATTCTGTGTGGTGGATCAACAAATTCCATTGGTTCTTTAAACATTCCAGATTGTTCATTGGTACCAAATGGCAACAAAATTTGTTTCTTAGTTACTTCAAAATATTTGACGGCAGAGTATGATAACGAAAGGATCTTGTACGAAGTGGAAACAAATGCAGGTTACATAAATAATTCCAAAACAATACTTGCAAGCCAATCTCGTCAAGGAGCATATGTGTATGTATGCAGTGAATTAATATCGGGTAAACCATTAATTGTACTTGGTACGTTAGATTCATTTTTATTGGAACAAGGTGTATATGTGAACAGTGATTTGAAGCCAGTTAGGTCGATTAAAAGTGTATTTTTGAAGGATTATTACGGTAGAGAGCATGTTAACGAACAGGAGTGGAAATTCGATAGGTTTACGTACGTTATGACTACACATAGGTTTGATTCTTCGTTTGAGAGTAACGTAATGAACGTAAAAATGTTAGTCACTATAGATGATCCATCCCCTCTTGTAAAGAAGGGTATGCATCTATGTATGCAAGATGCTAGTGTTTTAACAAGTGATTATGATTTATTTAAAGACATACCTAGTAGTGCAAATCATCAGCATAGACCTTGGTGTGTTAGTCGTTTTGCTCTTGCTGCTATAGAGAAGAGTCCATTAGATGATATGTGTAGATATCTGGTAGCTCTCTGTTATTTCGGACTAAACACAGAACCATACACTAAAAAAACGTTTACCGATTTTTGTATGCGACACTCTTTACCATACGATTGGAGGTCTATATTATGGAATAGAGTGAAAAATTTTTGGAGAGAGCGATTTGTAAATTATAGAAAACGAAATAAAACTTTAACATCACACTCGCATTATAACTTTTATTATAAAGTATATAATAGTGTCACCAATGATGAAAATAGAATTGACAGATGTTGGATGAGGTTTAATCAAAATTTAAGTGGTTTGTTAGGTCCAAATATATTTTGTGCGTTGATCAATCCCAAAACTGATTACGTACCTACTAATGATTTTCCAGACACAATTCCAAGTGCAGGTAGCGTGAATACTGCGCCAACATATACCCCATTTAAATACACTTCATTTGATAATGATCATGATGTCATCAATACAAAAGAAGTAACACTTGGTGAAGAAGGTATTGAAATTATATTTATATTTAAATCACTCGTGTTTCCGTTTGATTTTGATTCCTTTGAGTTTGTAAAGTTCACTGTAGATGAACATAATTATTTGAAAACTTTTTTCGAAACTACGAAAAATGGTTTATTTTCACAACTGCCTAAATTTACAGATCTGAATGAGGAAGATATGAAATTATTAGTAACGATTCCTTCGGATACTTGTGGAAAACATAAGATGATTGACATTTATATAAATCTATTAAAAGCCTGGTGTGGAGTCCTTCATCGGATTCCGAAACAATCCAATGAAGGTGATACTGTAATCGACGATATAAAATTAAAATGTTTTATTGGAAATAACGAACGCCGTTACGCATACGACGTTAACAAGGAACTAACCCCAATACATAACACAGAATGGCAGGTAATTAAATCATTAATTTCATTAAATGACAATGATGATGTAACACATTTTTCTCATTGGGATTTTATATTAAAGAAAATTACACAAAAAGATGACGAGGTTGTTCCATTGTGGTACACACCGATTGGAGTTGCAATGAGTAGCCTGATTGTCTTTACACACTTTAAAGATTTTCTCAATATATATGGAGCACAGCGAGTTGTTGATGAATATGACTTGTATGATGCGTGTTTATATGGGATTCGTTTTTTATGCCTATGTAAAGTGAAAGTAAATGACGTTTCAACAGATGACAGTTTCATAAATTTACTTAAACGACCAACGGAAAACTTTGATCATGCACAATTTTATTTAGACAAAACACCAAAAGAATCACGTCGATTACAAAATCTGTACGATATAGATATTATAAACAATATCATAGCTGATCACACTTTAAAGAAAATATTACGTCCACTTGTTCTTTGGTCACTAAGAGGTCGTGGTTCATTAGATGTAATGTTAAACGATTTCGTGACTAAAGGATATGTTTCTATTGGACGTGGAGAGAAAATAATATCAGGTTTGATCGAGAAAAACAGACAAGCGGTAATGGACGAACTCGGTAGTAAGAGGAGTAGTAGAATGAGGGATAATATGTTATACAATACTCGAGTGATTATATCTCAAACGGCACAACTTTTACGTGCGTTATTGGAACGTTTAATTATAAAATTTGAAACTGACGATATCGAATGGCCTTCTGTAGTATCGTCGTGTTATAGATTAGATCAATATAATGCATTTATGTGTTTTCAAAACGTTTCACAAAGAGATGTAAATGCAGACGAATATACCCTCGTTAGTTTAAGTACATATTATCCGTCATATATTTACACAAAGAACGATATGGCAATGTTGGATAAAATTGGTAAGGTCTTTTGTTTCAACGCATTAAATGTATTATTTTCATTACCGGACGATTTTCAACAAATACCGAGTATGCAAATTAAATACGACAATTCGAGTTGGTACGATTTTTACTCCGGTATGTTCATTAACGATGCTGTACGAAATTGTGTATTCTTTAATGCCAAGTGTTCTGAACCAATTGTAACAATAACTCAACGTATAAATTGTAAAACGCACTCTTCGTTACATCCAAATCTTCGCGCGATATTGTACAAAGATCTGAAGGACGAGGTTCAACCTACATTTACAGATTACGAAGAACTCGACGGTATTACTTTGAAACCGAGATATATTTTACATAAATTGGTGGTCTCTGCAGATGCTGTAGGTGAGACTATATCTGAGCTCTTATTAACATCTTATGAATATCATTTTTTGTCCTTACTTGAATGAAAAGCAAAGAAAAAAAATCGTTCGGTTTTTTAAATTAGTTTTTCAAATAAAAATTATTTATGATTAATCCATTGTTGATTGTTTGAGTAAAATAAAAATAATGGATAAAATCGTACAATATGATAACCTATATAATAAACACGTAATTCACTTTGATGAATCATACGACAAAAAACGGTCTTCTCACTTATATGTTCCGTTTTGGGGGAAAGGTGTATCAGATAAATGGTCGTCGTTGTCTTGTTCAAAATTGTTAGAATACATACAGAGCCCTAATGTTGCATTGGACGCTACTCGTTTGGGAAACATTACATTGAATAGCATTTTATTTAACGAATTATTAAAAAGAATTAATTATTGTAGAATCATTAGTTTAAAAAATTCAAATGAAATAGTTAATACATTATACGGACACCAGGCATGTGCAATAGCGCTAAGTAAGAATATATACGATGAGACTACGATCGTAGGTCGTACTCTTAGGCTAGCGAGAATACACAATGTTTCGTGGTTGAAATTGGACTTGGATGCCGCAAAACATACAGACGCATCATCTTCCATTTATGTTGTCGATGGTGACGATAGAATCATGTGTACCTTCGACTATTTACTTACTATTGTTGGATACTACTTGTATTGGAATTGTAGATTTGATTATATGTGTGATACGAACATTTATAATATACATATAGACGAAAGTATAAGTGTTAAGAAATATTCGGAAGGTTTGTTTAGGATATCAGAGAGAACATCAGAAAAGGATTATCTAATAAGTCTTTTAAGTTTTCTACAGTTTGGAGATTTCGATATAAATAATCGACATGAGTTACCAATATTTATTGGAAGTACTATATCCTCGCGCTCGGCTTCTCTGAGATGGTTAACAAAATCTAGCAAACCTTGGATATTAAGTGATTTTGCCTGCGAACGGTATAGAAAAGAATTTTTTAAACAAGTACAATTACCAACACTAAAACATTATTTTAATGTACTTCCAGACGCAAAAGAAACCGTCAACAACTTGGATGTATTTAAGTTTGCATATGGAATATTTAAACAAACGAAATTACCCGATCAATGTATAGACGTTTGCATTGCTTTTGGAGCCGATGTGTTTGTTGCGATACTGTCGTCTTTCGAAACCGAGAGAGATCATACATTGACCGAAGAGATTCTGCGTGATGTAGACGTGAATTCTGTGGTGGGGGTTACCTCTGTGTACGAAACAAATCGAGACAGTGGCGAGACGATAATTGGCTGTAATCACAGTATTTCAACTAGAGCGGTGGATCGACTTGGACGAACAAGGTTAATAAATGTAAATTTGTTAGTAAATCAAAATGGAGACGTTATTATACCTAACACTCACTATAGTTGTATATTCGATAACGTATCACCCGCTAGGCATAACGTCGTTCGGAAACCGCATTCAGTAATTTCTAAGAAACAAAGCGATCATTTCGCGTCGTCAGAAAGAATACCAGCACGACCTACATATTACGTGTCGTGTCCAGCTGAAATTGAAAAATTTTATTTACAAATAAGTAAAGTGAAAGTTTTGCGAGAAAGGTTTCAAGCGTTATACGACGATGTGGTTGTAAGTGTATGCGAATGTGCTTGGAATGGATTTCCTTCAAGAGATTCTTGGTTAGGAATGGGAAGTATTGTTTTAACAGGAGTTCGTGAGGACACTGCAACTGATTATTCGAAAGCTTTATGTTATAAAGTTGTAAGTAACGATTCCTTAAACTCGTTGCGACCATCCAACGATGTCCAAGCATTTACTACTTATGAGGCTGTGTATGTAAATTACTTTTATGAGGATACGTATATGGTTATATTAAAGGTACCAGTATCAAATGTTTTAATCTACACTATAGTCAAGCTTACAGAAAAAATACAAAATATAGACGTACAAATTCAACCGAGTACTATACGCATTAATATACTAGAGAAAACGAATGATCCATACGAAGTCTTGAAGTCTCTGGTACGCAGTGCTTTAT